TATTTTTAGTTATTGATAATTGTGTCATGATTAATTTTTGCTATTTTGTTGTTATTGTTGTTCTAAATGCACTCTCAACAATTTTTTAGTCTTGGTTTTAATAATTTATGACTTGCCCACAAAAGGGAAACAAGGGAATTTCTGCGTGAACGGGAACGGGTTACCCGATCTTTATTGACAAAAATCCAAGCCTCAAAACAGATTCATCCAATCACATGCGCTAAAATTACGAAGATCGAAATTTCGATCCTTTTATTGGGAATGTGCATGTATACATGTAAAAATACATCAGATTTTTAACTCGTGAAAACAAAAAGAAATATAAATTCTTGGTAACGATAAATTTATTCATGAATAATAAAATTCATAACAAATATCAGTATTTTCTAACAAAGGTATAATAGAAAATTTTAAAGAAACTTCTAATTATCAACTTATTATGTATCGGAAGTTACATTCTTTAAATAACCAGAATTATATGAAAGTTCTTATTTTATTTTGATAACGATGATGCAAATGTACTTCAAAAGAATTTTAACGCGAAACGGGACTTCGTAATCTTAAATTTTACCAACCATACACGTTTCAGAACTTTGTTCGTTTTCCATCAATCAGATATTTATGTATGCTACTTGAAGCTCGTCCAACGAATCCATGACTTTATTGGAAAAAAGTTTTACCGTTAAGGCGATATGTATAAACCCTTCATCGTCGTTACTTCTGTTCTACAAAAGTTTTTAGTATGATTCCAATTTGTCACCAGCTTCACTCGTTTCAGAAATTGGCCGATCATTCGCAGAAATACCACTTTTCTTGAGGACGGTAGAAAAAACTATTGCTTCATATGGAAAATCCAGATTCGTTTTCAAAATCCGATTAATCATAAAAATTTATTAAATACCTGAACGTACCGTTGATTCCATTGGCTAAATATATACATTAACATTAAGACTTATTTTGTCTCTGTAAAACGAATATGTTTTACATCAATGAAGACGGGTTTTTGGTCTATTAATACTATAATTTGCTATTTTCTGAAGTGGGATATAATCACGTGAAAATATATAATAATGATACTGCTGGAACATGTGCACTGTATGTACATGTTAATCTCGAACAGTCTTCATTTAGATTAGGTTTGGATTGGTCCAACCTAAAAAACCTGTGTGAAGTATTGTGAACGGTTACCCAAACCTCAAACTTTGTTCCAATTAGTTATTCACACGTTCTCTTGTTGACAAAATAATTAGATCACATGCGCTTTTTTGATACAAAGGCGGGAATTACATGTATTAGATGAATTTAAAAAAATTAATAATATTAAAACTAAGGTATCTTCCATGAACTCAACAATCCCGTCATCATCAAACTTTTTGATCGATTCCGCAACTACAACCCCAAAACATGAAGTCGATGATCCAGTCACTAATATTAGCAATAAGGAAGACGACGAAAACACGACAAATATTCAAATAGTTGATCCGATAAATAAAAGTTTATCTATCGATTATAAAAGCCAGAAGGAAGATGATAGCACAACAAGTAATCAGACGACTGATCTGAAAATTTCATCTGCCGATATAAGAGATGAGGAAGACGAGAGTACGGAATCCATAGATGGAATAGATGAAAAAGATGAAAGTCCGACAAGCTCTTCTAGCGAAAAAGAAAGCACGATAGGACATACTAACATAGAAGACATAGAGCTCTCCAACGTGTTTAGTAATTTGCAGATTAACAATCCTTCTTCGGAATTGCCCGAGAAACCAAACAGAACGAGTAGCAGTAGCTCTACTGTCGCAAATCACACCTATAATATATTTCGATCCGTTTTTTGGAACGTGATTACTTTTCTTGTATTATTTTTTGCGATTGAATTGGGTTACCGATTTTATTCTGACGTGGGTATTTTTTTTCTTGCTTTTCTTTTAAAATGCGTACAAAATATTCTGAAATCTCCTTTCTTTGAAGACCTCCCTTCGGCAAGTGTTTTTTAATCTGATGTATCCTCAGGTAAATTTACTTTCAAATAACTCGTTTATTTTTCCAATTATTTTTATCTAAATAATCCCGAAAATTTAGCCCATCGATGGTCCGATATTTAGAAATCTTGCAAACACTACAACATCTATAGCTTATCATATGAATGAAATAAAAATCCCAGGTAATTAACGAGCTCAACTGTGAATTAGCACACGTTTATTTTCATGACAATAAAGCCAAATTATCGTCACAATAGCCTCGAATTCTATTCTGAAACAACGAGAGTCTGCGAAGTTTCTTTCCTCGATAATGTTGCGCGCAAAGGACATCCAGGGTCAAGACTCACTACAAACCTACGTAACCAATCTAGGCGAGCAACTATACAAAACCGGCACCGCAACTGAGAAGCTATTCAATGTTGGGGAGCAAGAGCTCACCGAAATCGAAAGAGAACTCCTTTTAATCGATGAAAAGCTTGAGAGTGGGTTGATTCTCTCCACAATAAACGCGACATACTTCTTCGATAGGACAAATAAGATTTTTGATGGGACCACAATATTACGAGATCTGATTGAGACTGTCTATAAAGAAGTGATAATTACAGAGAATATCTATCTTGGATATCAATCTCATTTGCAAAATGGATTTTTGGACTTAAAAAACTTTTTTGATAGAAATGAAGCAGCACTCAGAAAACTGAACATCAATGTGAAATTTGTGAAAGAAGATCTCGCTGATTTCGATCGGGGAATATCAAAAATACTTGATGCAAAGGGAAATATCAAAATATCACTTGACGGGATGAATCACGCCAGGACATTATTGATAGAGATTAAAGGAAAGTTTTCAGCATTGGTGGGGAGGAAAATTTACAGTGTCCGCGATTCGGAAAGCATTCAACAAGCAATCGAAAATGTCAAACTGGCTAAGCAAGCCTGGAAGGGGAAAGATAGCGAGGCTGTCTTGAAACGAATCGAAATTTGATTTTTATATTTTATTTTTGGCTACTAGTGTTTTTACTAGACATAATAAATATAATGTGAAGCTTAACATCATTGGCAGGTTGCAATGTATGCGAAGTATATTTTAATTTAAACAATAAATAAAAAAAGTCTAGAACAGTACTAATTACATTTTATATCTACACTACATTTACATAATTAAACTATAAAAAGGCAGAACAAAATTTAAACACACCATAAAACCGAATGCCACCATTTTCGTTCAATTTTTTCCTCACCCGGAAACACAATTTCTCTTGGTATTCTTCTTTCTTTAGTAGTTGTTTTTTGATGATGCGAGCTTTGAGAAAATTGTGAATAGACGCTTCCGCGAGCATAAAGCGACCCAGCGTCATCGTCAGCTAGAGTCTGATAATTCATTGAATCTTGTGCATTATCATCAATGACTTCGACGAATTCAAATGTCGCTTCGCTTTCCATATTATAATTTGAATTAACATTATTGTTGTTGTCGTCGTCGTCGTTGTCATCAATAATATCGTCACCCTTGTCGTCTAGTTCGTTTATTATCTCCATAAATTCAAATCTATCGGAATCCCTTTTAAATATTGCATTTCCTGTTTCAATTAATGAAAGCGCCTGAACGACTTGTCCAATCGATGGACGTTTATCCGCGTTCCTTTCCCAACAACATTGATATAAATCCGAATATTCTTTGAGTGTATCCGCTATTGGCGATTCCCGCTCCCCATTCATTATACTTGTCGTTAATTTTGACATTTCTCGTGGATCATTTGCAAAAGGTCGTCGTTCGCTAGTCAATTCCCAAAATAGAATACCTAGACTATAGATATCAGAACTTTTCTTTATCTTGTAAGCGGAATCTTGAAGAATCCATGGATCTTTATATAGCAGAGCACCATTAAACATCGATTCATCAGTCGCGATAGATAAACCAACGCCCGCAATTTTAAGATCCCCTTCTTCCACAATAACACGATAAGTATTCTATATAAAAAGTATTTAGTTTTTAATTTACACATATATCATGCTCAGAATTAAACTCACCAACTCTCTAAATACAATTGAATTATTGTGCAAATGTTGGATTCCGAGAGATAATTGTTTGGCAAGTTTGAATTTTTCTATCCAGGAAAGTGTTGTTGATTTTTTTAGGAATTCTGGCAGTGGCAGTCCATTCTCTGTTGATTCAAGTATAACATAATATATTTGTTTCTCTGTATCTAAGCAACAACAAAAGATTATAGGTTAAATATTTATATCACAAAGCTAAGATAAGAAAAAAAAACACATACCTTTAGTAAGACCATAAAATGTCAGAATGTTATTGTGAGAAGGAAGTTTTGCAACTTCTCGTAACTTTTATATGCATTAAACATAAGTTCTATTTAATTCTTAATCTGTATTAGATCATTAACTTTAATTAAATTGTTTATTTACTTGTTTAATAAATTTTTGTATCGTCTCGTCATCTTTTTCAAAAACGTGATTCAAGCTTTGTAGTTGTACATTAATATTTCGTGTCGTCCACTTGACATTCCATTCTGGACTATAAATTCCAGGACTAATATGCGTGATGTTGCTGAACTGAGTATACGGGAAAAACGCGACATCTTCACTCGCTATCAGATCCTCGATTAAATGTGTTTTTGAAGTTGACATTTTTCTCAAAGTGTTGTGTTATATATTTTATTCGAATAGGCGTGCGTGAGAACAAATGTATCGATATTTTAGTTCACGATAAGAAGCTAAAACTCTGTTGTTGATATTTATTTATCTGAAAATTAGGGGAATTGTTTCAAAATACTACCAATCCCCACATCTTTAATTATTAGGATAATTGTTGTTCTATTAAAAAAATGCACCTTCACCTGCCGATGTTTCTCCTTTGGCGTATTCATGCATTTAATCCACTTCCTAAAATGGAAGATAGCAAACAGTTTCTCTTTGTATCAATCATAGTTAATAAAACGTAAATGACATTCTCTTGATGGTAAATCTTGGATAAACTGTGTTGATTCCAGCAACAGTTATGGTAAGCTCGATATCATTTTCAGTTCAAAGTCACAACCATTTCAGTTAGTTTACTACGCAATTTACAGATTAACTTGAAACAATTCATGCAGAATTATGAAATTATGCCGAAATTATAGATGAATGTTGATCCAAAAATATTCAAAGACAAGAATGCCTTTACAGATTCCTCAAGAGCCCAATTCAAATCTCCCACGCTTCCACATGATCTTTCGCACGCTCCTATTACAAATCCTCATTGAATTTTAGGTGCCGTCATGTCGTCGTCGTCGTCGTTGTGCAATTCAACCTAATAGTTCCTTGTCTAGCACACAAGAAAGTCCCCAGCTAACGTGGAATAATAGCAACGGTGGAATATATATGTGTACACTAACAATTATGTGTAAAACGCAAAATATATATCTAAAATCATCTTAATAACAATTTTGAGTTGCAAGGAAATATCTGAGGAATAAACACCCCGTTTTTTGAGTCCAAAAGGTGTATATTCTAAAAAGAATACGGTATGTCAATTCAGGTTCTGAAATCATGATTACGGAGTAGGTGATTTTTTAAGCATGGATTTTAGCTTGCTCATATTCATTTAAGATGTGAAGTTTCGTAAGAGTTTACGATGATGAAAATAACGATTCATTAATTCTTTGATGTAGAATGATTTTATCTGCAAGCCTTCTTAATTGCAATTCTAATTGAAAATGAATATATCTCGAAATATTAATAGTATTTTAAAATTTCATTAACCCAGTTTAGGAATATTTGAATACAGGTGAATGATATCAAGTAGAAAATATTCAAAAAAGTTTTTTTTAGGTCAAAAGATGAATAATTTTGTTTTCGGGTTAGTATTATGCAGATAAAGCCAGCCCCCGACCAATATGAACTAGAAAAAGTTCTATGTCCTAGTTCAAATTCTGTTATAATGAGATTCACTTAAATTTGTACATAATAAGATAGCAGATACCGCCTCTTCTTTTAATGCTTGCCTCATGCTAGGCAAAAATAATTCACAGGAAAACTCGTTCGCTCTACAGTTACCTTCGCATAATCATTTCTCCTAAAGTCACATCTAGAGGTGCAAACACCCTTTGCGTCACATTAGTATCTGACAAATACCCACTTATGTCTATGAATTAAGCTACTTCATGCACTAATGTCTGGTCCACAATTATGTTACTATTAAATAAAACCCTACATAAGCACATCTCCTTACAATCACATCATCACGGGTCCCGAAGGATGTGATTGGGGATAAATTTAATAAAAAAGATTCTTTGTTTACATAATGAGGTTGTCAATCATTTTTCAGCTCAAAAGGTTTTCATATAAATCATTTATGAAATTTATTAAACAAAGAAAATTTAAGGGCTTTTTAAGTCATGTTTAGGCTCGTCATCGTTATATAGAAGTTTACGTACGAAATTTTGGTATATGTATGTACACATGTTATTTAAAGGTCCATAAAATTTTATTCCCTACAAATACACGAATAATAATAACGGCGACTTTGGCAAAAAAAAACTACAATAGATAAAATACAGCTATTTTTTTTTTGCCTAGCAAATATTTGACTATCTTCTACGATAACAAACTCTTTAGAATATCAAATTTCTAAATAAAGATGGATATATAAGTGTGCTAATATAACGAAAAACGATAACGATAAATATAACATACCCAAAAGTAAATATTTAATGAGAACACATTATACAGAAATAAACAACTCATATTAATATTATATCAATATACACCAAAAAAAAACCCCCACACAAAAAACATATTTATTTACTCTACAAAAATAAAAGACTTTTAATAATAGCCAAAATGTTTTCATCTGTACAAAATTCCATTTTGCGTCCTTGAAGTTTTGATGTATCTTTTGGATTGGTTCCACGTTATTTCAATTTCCATTGTTTTACTTTTTTTTATAAAAGTCTAACGTAATTACCAGGGAACTAAAATTTCGTGCAAGTAATTTAGTACTTTTATGATGACTCAAATATAAATCTTCTACACGCTACATACCTGTCCAATTTTACCATCGAATTCTCCTGTCCACCAGTCACTCTCTTTTCTGGTTCGTTTAACTATACGAATTCTATCGCCAATCTGTTTAACAAAATAAGCGATCAATAAATCTACTTTCATTCGATGCTAGTCCGAAAAAGTACGCGTACCTTAAATTTGAAATCCGTGTCTTCCTGATTTCGGAAATTATATTTAGCCATTGCATATTCCTCTTCTATCGACTGTTTTTTTAGATTTCCAACTTTATTTTTGGATATTTTCGGCTGACCTTTCTCGTCCATAGTGTCCAGCACTAGTGTCAAATTATCCGTCGCTTCAAGATCCAATTCAGTTGCATCTTTGTCATATGTGCTTGGATGATCATTCTGTGACGGTTTCTCGGTGAATTTAATGACGATCGTCAAAGCCAGTAAAAAGAATTGAACCCAGCACATGACCATCACTATAGTTCCTAAAATAGTCGCCTCTTGAAGCTTCTTCGTGTCATTGGGATTTGTGTCATCATCGTGGTAAAAGTTGAATCGGAAAATATGTTTATCAAGGTAAAACTTGTCAATCATTGAAGATTTATCCGCTCTCATTACAATCAAGATTGAGTCAATAAGCCAGAACAGTGAAAGAAAACCATTGATAAATAGTAATCCATGTTGAAATCCATAAGATCTTGATATTTTTGGGACGCACACAGCTCCCGATAAAATAAGCGACACGAAACCAAGAATAAATGTCAAGTAGACATCAATGGGTAAGTATAATCTAGTGTTAATAGCACCTCCAGATTCAGCTTTTAATGATTGAAGATAGGCATTTTCAATGTATACCCATCGACCAAGCAATCCAAAAATGCACAACGAGAACAGAAATAAAAGTGGATAAATAATACAAAGTACTGATAGTTGCCAGGTCATAATTATTTTTAATGAATTATGATATGAATTATTAATTAAATAATTATTAATTCGAAAATTTTGGGTGGGAAAAAATCAAAAAAAAAAACAATGAATAAATAAACGATAATTGACGACAAGTAAAGCAACAAACAAGTCGACAATAATAACGAACGAAATAATTGCGATCGTTAATGATTAGCAATGAGGACAAAAAACAAAAGATAAAAAATAAAAAAATAGGCCTAAAAAGGTAAACGACAAAAAAGCCCGACGAAGAATGAAACACCAAGCTCCTTTTGAGTCTTTTTGGAGCTGCGGGTAGTTGCAGAACAAGTTTTGCCTGCAACGGAAAAACACAGTACACAATGAGTAATAATTATTGTAAAGTAAAAATACATGATCACTGTATATTAATCATGCAAAAATTATAAGAAAAAAGAGAATCCGTATTAACCATAGACGGATCCTTTATAGTATGAGATGTGCAGGTCTGTGTGTCAATCCCTTTCTATGATTCTTTCTATTTTTAACGTACCCAAGAATATGAAAAACGACGATGATGATGATTGTATGACGATCACCCTAAACAATTGATTTTATATAAATAGGATAGATTGGGTTACACTACGCCTTTTACTTCCTGCAGTAACCACATATTTAGAAACATTCTTTGGGTTGAAAGGATAAATACGATAGTAAATGTTTCGTTTTTCATCGAATCGCACATTTTGTCCAATTTCGTTCGCGCACTCCCTGTTCACGCATTTGCACTTTTGGCATTCTCTCTATATATTGTTATTATCATTATCATTATTATTATTATTATTATTATTATTATTATTATTATTAAAATGTCAAGAGGGAGAAAAAATGCAATGACATTTTACTTGTTGCTGCATAATCCTTTAAAAGATTTTCATATGACATTTTCTTATGCAAAATCAATTTCTTTTTCTATTGTCTTTTTATGCACGCTTATAATTTTTTATGTGTTCATTTTAACGTTTTATCGGATTCCCATTTCCTTTGATATAAATTATCATTATCATTATCATTATTACCATATATTATTATCTCTATAAATACGGTCAAGATTTAATTAAACAGAAAAAATCTTTAGTCACTTGGCAAACTTTATTCTTTGTTTTTGTCTCCCAATAAATATTTATGAATGATAATTATTACTTTTATATGCTCATTTAATTTTTTTGCTGGTGTAGAAATGATAAAGCAAAAGCTTAAAAAAGTTCCGCGTGAACTTTTTATTAGCGTCAATCTAGAATTCTCTTTTGGAATAGGAACAAGAATATGCGTGCGTGAACTTGTGTATCGTTTTTTGGGCGTTTCCGCCAACATTTTCGTAATCTGTGTACGTTTCTTTTCAACAATGACCAAACGACACGTACTCCATAGTTTAAAATTCCCTTTTTACTTCATAATAGAGAAATATTAAACTAGGTAAAAGTCGATAAAGTTACCCTTTTTTCTGTATGGCAAAACCGTTGCACATCATGACGTAATACATGTACTCGATGAGTGATTGCCCTGATTGGTTATTCGCTGGCAGATATTCGCTTTACTTCATTCACAAACGTAAAATCTACTTGCATATTACCATTTACTTGCATATTACCAAAGTAAGTAAAATTAAATCTATTCTTTTTCTTCCTGTACGAACTTTCAATAAGAACTCTAAATAGCGGGAGAAAATAAAAATAGAAACACATATAAGTACAGGTTCTCGACAGGTTTATAATGATTATCAGACATCTGTTGAGAAAGGTGTGAATATTCAAAACTCTATATATAACTCATTATTTCAACTTTTCGCGACCTTTTTGTAAAATCTAAGATGGCAAATTAAAATATGCAAGTATAGATCATAGTCGAGTGCACATTTTAATTAAATGCTCCGTTCCAGTTAATTATAGAACAGTCTTTACTTCGAAAAGCCTGGCGTGAATTTCTTGTGGGAATTTAGTAAATACCTTTATGAGAATTCCATAAATGAAATGACAATAAAAATTGATTGTTTTGAATCATACTCATTACAAACTATGACACCATTTTCCCTTGATATAACAGAATTTTTACTGCCATATCATTATATCGAGACGGCAAGCACAGAAAATTAAGGGATTGTCTGTTTTTGAAAAACTTTAACGTCTTATGTCTGACAAGACTTCACCCCCATGAACTCAAATAACTAAGTTTGAATTGATGAGATTTAAGATTATTGTTTTAATATCGTATGATAGAATCCTAAAGATAAAATCGAAGGCCAGTAAACCAATCAAATTTAACTTAGGTCATGCGAACCAATTAAATTTAATAACTTATGCATTAACGACAATAAATAATGCCATTCTAGTAAACTGAATTTATATTTCATGTGATAAAAAAATTATTGGACCAGGAATCATTATTATCTATTGGTCGGATTAGTAGCTTAGTTTTTCACTGAAATGTCCAAATTCTGACTGAAACAGATATGTACAATTACATAACAATTCGATCAATATAGGATTGTCTTGTCGTGTCAGGATGGGAGGTCGCCGACTTTTCGCTCATCACAAATAGAGGTTGGTTCTTCTACTTCTGAACCCAGTTTTTTGCTCTGGAAGTTCTTGAGATTATTCCTTGGGAACAGAGGCTTCAAAGCCTCCAGTTCCGCTAATTGGCCATTTGAAAACTGGCTGGTTTATGTTTGTTGCGGTTTGTTGCATGTTGCATGTTGCGTGTTGCGTGTTGCGTGTTGCGTGTTGCGTGTTGTCTGATTACAAAAAATTATGCTTACGTGCAATTTAAGTATAATTTTTATATATAAAACGACTTTCTTGCAATTCATTTTTTTGTCACAACCATTAACTGGACAACACGCAACATAACCAAACAACTAGAAAACTACTAAGCTAGCCCAGGAACACGGAGAACTTCATATATCATGATCGGTATAAAACGGAATAAATCGGTATAAAAGGGAATTTTTATAGAAAGCTATATATATGTATTACAAATTCGGGATGATTATCATTACGATCTTTTTTAATGAAAAATGCCTCCTAACGCTAATCAAAAACGAATAACTGCATATTCTCGTGCACAAGAGTTTTCTGAAGATTTTCGTTATGATAATGGGAATTTTATTATGTCGGTTTTGTAGTCGTTCAGTTAAATGGGAAACATTAAAATAACTATACTTTCGCATATTGAAACGGAAATTTTTTCAAAATCACAACGAAATTTTTCCTGGTCCCTGACCTAGCTATGGCAAAAAAATATGCCCGCATCATGTGATTTTTAAGGGGTAAACCAATCAGATTGCAAGATATGAAATATTAAAAAGATTATAACATTCGGTTATAATTATTGTGGCAGATTAAAATGAAATCGGATTAAAATGAAATTGGGGTCTTTTTGAATCCTCTTTTAATGCCTCT